CTGAGAGGCCTTGACAGCTGGGCCCCACAATTACTATTTAAATAACATATATTGTATGTATATTATTTTTATTTTTAATAAACAAATAAAATTTATTATTTATTATAGTAATAGTCATACCTATATCCTTGGATGGAAGACTTTACATAAGCAGGAGAAACAGAAAAAGATAAATGGGGCCACATATTATGATATGATGATGAAAGGCCAAACAGGGTTTTGTATCTCTACAGTTTGAGAGAGAACAAGAGGGGGAGAGGCTCAAAGCAAATTTGATTAAGCTTTCAAGCCCAGGGCAAGTGCAGGATGACAGAAACAGAAAAATGAGGGGAAGGGTAAAAAGCCGGGTTTTAGACAAGACCATCAGATGCTGGCAGAGCTTTCAAATGACATAGAACAGAAAGTAGAAAATTAAAAATCAGAGACTGGGGCCCGCCAAGTGGCTCAGTTGGTTAAGAGCATGAGCTCTGAGTAACAGGATCACCGGTTTGATTCTCACATGGACCAGTGAGCTGTGTCCGAGCTGAGCTGCTGCCGAGCTGGAGAGTGCATGCTCTTAGCAGAAAGATTGTCGGTTTGACACCTATATAGGTTGGTGGGCTGAGTCCCCCTGCAACTAAGATTGAACACAGCACCTTGAGCTGAGCAACCCAGAGCTGTCAGGCAGCCAGATGGCTCAGTGTGCAACAAGGTTGCCAGTTCGACTCCCACATGGACTACACATTGAAAGCGGTGACTGGACATAGAGCTGAGCTTGTGCCCTCCACAGCTAAGATTGAAGAGCAACAGCTTGACTTGGAGCTGATGGGTCCTGGAAAAACACAATGTTCCCCTCCCCCCAATTCTCCAACACTGTTCCTCTCCCCAATTTCCCAATAAAAATCATTAAAAAAAAAAATTGGAGGCTGAGTGAAAGGGATTAGGATAAAAACTGGGGAATTATCTAAATAGAGGTGATCACAGAGAAATGGGAAATTGCTTCAAGGAGGAGTGTTTAAAGACAGAATAGTCCAGGGTAAAACCTGAACCTTTCAAAAATGCCAACAAATGGATAATAGGAGAAGGGAATTTGCAAAGATAAATGTCAGAAAAGGCAAGTGTAGCAATTAAGAGCAAAAACTGAAGAAAGCAAGCCT